CAAGATTCCAGTTTCTCAAGACCTGGACTGTTTCTTGAGGCACAGCTGAGAAATAAACCTGGTCGAGGGGAACTGGAATCTCGCTAACTCCCTCAATGATATACTTTTTAACTGTTTCATTATATTGATACAAAAGTAAAAAAAAATTAAATGTGAAAGAGAATTACGACAGGAAATTAGCTTTCAGACTGGGATTAGCTCACTTGACTTGTGCATGGGGATTTCCCCTTTCAATTTCATTTCTGGCTAGTATTTAACTGTCATTCGGAACTCCTCAAATTTTTTTGCTCGGTACTTACATGAGGTCCCTCGATTGTTTTGTTGTTGTTAAAAGCCGTTAAAATATTATACCGATAAAAAAAAGTAAAATCTAGTGAATTATAGATATTAACTGGAAATTAGCTTCCAAATGAGGGATTAACTAATATGACTTATGCACGGGGATTAGTCCATTCGCAATGATTTCAAGGGAATAATTCACATTTTACTACCTAATTTTTATATAGAAAAAATCAGTAGAGGTATTAATAATGAAAACAATTAATACTAGTTCAGTCAGGGTGAAAACACTGAGAGGGGGCTGTTTATTAGCTTGTCCATGTGTTGTATTAATGCATGACTTTTGAAAATCTCCTGGAGTCCCTTTCAGGACAATATGTTAAAATATTTCATTATACCTCTACTGATTTTTTCCTAGTATATAAAAGTAAGGCAGTAAAATGTGAATAATTCCCTACAAATCTCAGTGAATGGACTAATTCTTGGTGTGTTAGTTAAATGATCTAATCCCTGCTTCGGAAGCTAATTCCCAGCTAGGTTATCCTTATACTGTAGATTTTACTTTTGTATCAGCCTTATATGTTAATGGACTAATTCCCCTGTGTTAGTCTTGAAGCTTATTCCCCGCCATTCGTAATCCTCTATTTGTATCGGTACAATAAAACAGTTAAAAAGTATATCACTGAGGGAGTATTAAGCAAGATGAATCTTGCTTACTCCCTCAATGATATACTTTAACCTGTTAACTGTATAATAAGTTATAGCTCAACTATATTTAATAATTATTCAGATCATGTGACACAGAGCATGTGTTATACAATATGCTCACGAACTTCATCATACTTTTAGGTTTCCATTGAAGTAAAGAAGAAATGAGTATGCCTAAACTCTTTTTTATATCCATGATATCTGAGACGTGATAGTTAATCTCCTAGAACAGGTCCAGTACAATCACTAGATTTAGCTACGTAGGTAGAATTACCTACGTAGCTTTATTTACCTACCTCAGGTAGCTTTATTTAGCTATTTCAAGGTAAGTTTTCAAAAGTTTTCATTTTATTAAAAAAAGACAAAAAGTCGCAATTAAATGACTATTGATATTTATACTACGGAGGCTTTAAAAACAATCCAAAGCAGAGATAAGTTTATACATTGCTGAGTTTGGACAATTTAGAGCAAAACATGTAATTCCATTGTTTGGTTAACTGTCCTGTCTATTAGCATGATTAGGCGCGGTGAGGCATGACTGAGTATGATTACTTCACATTGTGCTGAATAATTACCAGGTCAAGCACAATACCCCGATAAAGGTATATATCTTGATAAAGCTATATAGCTTTATCAAGGTATCTAAAATACCTTGATCAAGGTATTTTATGTAATGAAAATTCAAAAAAATTCTTTAAAAATTAATTACTGAAAGTCGAGTTCTGAGTTGTTGTCAGTAAATTCACCCATGCATGTAAAATACTCAAACACAAACAAATCAGTATAAAAATGTGTCGTGTGAGGAGACGTTATTTAATGCTTTCTTTTTGATACCAGTGTTTTTCATGCACAAGTAGACACACAGACAAAAACTCAGAACTCGACTTTCAGTATTTAATTTTTAAAGAATTTTTTTGAATTTTCATTTCATGAAATACCTTGATCAAGGTACATGTATTTTAAATACCTTGATAAACAGTCCAGTCCAATACGAAAAATCGTAATATTACTAAAATTCGTAATATAAGCAATTTCTGACTCTTCTAAGAGTTACTTCCCTTTTTTCTGATACAACCTCCTTGTTATGTTTCATCAGAGATTATATGTCTCTGGTTTCATCAAATCATCGTGGATATGCATGTATTTTCTTTGTTTTGATGCATTTGATCCAAGTGCATGCAGAGTCAGAGCCTCGTGAAAGTTGTACAAGTTATATCCCGTAACATCTCGTTGTTGGAGACGAGGGTCTGATTTTTATGGTAGACTTCGGAAAAAATATAAGGAGTTCGGGGATTATAGACCATTGTGGCAAGATTGAGGATACAATGAAGTTTTATGGAAAATTGTTTCCATCCCTGGGAAAATTCTTATAAAAGAAAAATAAAACAAAATTTTCACTCACCCATTACTACTGTTACTTTCTTCTTACATTTTCATACTTTTCGATAGACGTCACTGACCGAAATGACCACGTGATACTAGTACCATTGGGGCATAATGTATTTCTGACGTC